TCAATAGGGATTTCGCCTAGGGAGTCAAATTGGCTAGAAACGGCCCTGCCTGACAGTGAAAACAATCTTTCACAAGGTATGGATGTGGCAGGTGTTGCTAAGTATCTGCTTGCAAGGGAGGCCATCTCACCGTGTGCCCCTTCATGTTTGGACCACCACTGCAGGGGACAGTCCTTCATGAAAGTAGCAGTAGCGCTCCACACATTTCTCAATACAGTCCTCTTCATCATCAGATGAAGACTCTGGTGGCTCAGTTGTCACTGGTTTATCTCTCAGTGCAGTGCAACACGCTTTATCGTTTCCAGGGTGCTATTCCATCTAGTTGACACCTCCTGTGTGAGTGACTCTTTCTTTTAAGGATGTGCAACTTGCTGCTTTTTGAGCTCGGCTGCATTTGCTGGGCTATGCTTGAAATGGCCCACACTACCTTCCTGCATTTTGCCAAGGCGCTGTCAAACGGGCTGTTCTGGAGCGAAACTGTGATAACTCGGTGGAGGCTGTGTGCAATGCAAGGCATATGCTCAAATGGGAGCAGCCTGGCCGCTGCAATCATGTTGCGTGCCGTGCACTATCAGTGGTCAGTGTGCTAATTTTGAGTTTAATGTTCCACTGTCTGGCTATTCTGCCCCAGTCTTTGAGTAGTTATGCTGATTGGATTAGCACCTATGCATTTGAATGACACTGTTATGCTGATGAGATCAAGGCTGGGAAAAGGCCGGTGTCGGGCTGATTCCTGTACTTCATTTGCATGCTTTGTTTAAGGTAGTCACCCAGGTGCTTTGTCTCCATTTCTAAGCACTGCCCCCTTAAAATGTGTCTCCTGGTCTCTGCTTCGACGAGGAAAAAGTTTCCTACAATGCGATGCGAATAATTTCAAGTAGACCCTCATCCTCCACTACATTAACTGGCCTACATGCTGTCGCCACCCATTTAGCTATCACTGTGGTGAGTCTATTGCTTGTGGAGTTGTCCATCCCTCTCCGCTGCAAATTATTTAGTGTGGTCTGCCTATGGCGAGGAGGAGGAGAGCTCTCTGCATCAGCTGTATGCTACGCCATCAAGTGATATTTTAAACTCAACGTGCTGCGATGATAACTTAATTCACATCGACAATAAATGCAGACAACTTATGGCTTGTCGAGAGAACCATCAGATATTGTTTTGTATATGAATTTACCGTTCAGAAGACCTCTTTCTTTCTCCATTTCTGGCAAGCTGCTGCACCCTTTACTGGCTATGGCTGCATCTCTTATTTATCCTACTAAAGCCTAGGCCTCGGGTCAAACAGGAAATGTGTGCTGCATTAATAAAATTTGTGCCGTTAAAATTAAGGATGCTCAGATCCGCCTTTTTCACCTCCGATACCGATTCCGATACCTAGGGTTCGGTATTGGCCGATACCAGTGAAGTTTTTTTCCCTCATTTAAATAAATGTAGAATTTATATATCTCTGTGTGTGGAACTGATAATCATTCTTTCACAATCTACTAGATACAGACTACTTCATTATAAAGAAAAATAAAATAAACAAATATGAA